TTTGTGACAATTCATGAAAGGCTTCCAGTGACACAAAATATTTTGTTAATCCCAGTTTGCATAAAAAAACTGTATGTGACAGTATTATTTACTTTTTTGTATAATCTGTATGAAATGCTTTCTGTTTTACAATGCCTTGCTATTCAATGCTAAATGGAAAATTGAGATTAATTTCGATTTCCCCCGAACCTTTCTGATCTTTGACTGATTCGATTTTTTCACTATAAAAGGTCAATATTTTCGTTCAGAATTCAGTCTACTGTCACAAACTTCCTCCTTCCTCACCAAATTCGTTTCTACGATTTCTTTTACTCGTTTCATAGTATTGATTAGTCATGGTAACTAATGCATAAAGTAATTATAGAGCTTAACCTTCACTGAACGACCGAATTTGGGTCGAAATCTCGTACATATTACTAATCATTTATTGTCATTATTCATCAAAAGAAGCATACAATAATGTAGCGAAATGAAAAAATTTGTTTTACGAATTACTCGGAGGAAAATTGCATCCTTTAGCAACCAGATTTATTGCACATTCAAAATGATGCAATCTAAAAAACTCGAAATTCACTTGTAATAGTAAAAAAAATTCGGCAATACCATAAGATTATTCAAATCATTTAGTATATTCTTAATTTACAGCTTTTGATAACAATGGATTTTAAATATCTTGCCATTCTCACATTCATTGTGAGTCATATGATATCATTCAATATTACATCAGCAACAGGTAGACTTTTTGAATTATTAAACTTTAAATTTAAATGAACTGCTTTTAAGTGGTGCACTGTACGTAATTGGGAAATTTGTAAGAATTTGCATTTTCTGTTTAAATATGTGCAAAACAAGAACTTTAGTGTCGAATTAATTAGAATTTCAGGAAGGACGGATGAAGAAGGACCGAGCGCTCCCAAAAAAAGAAGGACTGAAACTAAATTACGGTATCCCAATAATAAACCAGTCTCTGCTCTTGGACAAGTGGGACATATAATTGTTCGCCACTTGCCTCGCAAAGATTTAAAAAATCTTAGCAAGTTAGCACTTCTCTTTCACTTATATATTATCACGCTACAGATATTCCCCAAGTGTCGGGAAAGCTATTCTGCTGATTGTTGGATATTCGTTTATTGGATATTGTGGAAATTTGATTTGAACGTAGCTTTAATTTCGGTAATCCGACACCAACGTCAAAAAATCATGTCCGCCAAATTCTGTGATTACAATTACTAGTAACTGTAGGAGATAAGGGAAATTGAAGTGAGTTAATAAGCTATAACGAACTGATTGCAAATAATAAAAATAATGGATTTTTTTTCATATCACCTTACAGGGCAATCCCCATGATGTCTGAACATATAAACCACGAGTTAAACCGTCGACGTGGAATACTGCATTACCGAGATGGTGAAATAAACCCGCCATATTTAAGGAATGCTTTGAAAGGCATAGATGAGACGAATTTCACCGGTTTTCAGGCATGTTCCATTCTTTGTTCCTGTCAAGCATAATAATTTACTAAAAATCAGAAAGAACTTATAACAGACGATGATTTGACGACATAATGATCAAATTC